CCATCTTCTCCAAACCTCACTTATGTAATTACACTGAATAATAATAATATGTTGTTATTGTCGTTGTAGTAGGTTGTGAGGTTTTTTGTACCCAAAGTGTTAATTTTTAAAACTTATTGTCCTTTATTGGCAATTACACAAAGAAAAATGTTCCTTTAGAAAAACATAGTGCCAAGTGAGAAAATGAGCAACAGAGTGTCAAAAAGTAGTCCTTAAAAGGGAGCAAATCAGACCCATCCAACAAAGTAACAATACTACTTTCCTTTTCTCCTTTCTCTCTTCACACCACTTTGCCTTTTTTTTTTAAAAAAAATAATAATATTTCTTCCTTCTATAGACAAAAAAACCCCCAAAATTCTTCATCAATTTAACTAAATTTACTAGACTTTAGTTTATGGATAACCAAAGAACTACTCTTCTTAATTGGACTTACTTCTGCCAAGGCAAGGTTAGCATAGTTTCTCACTACTCTACATTTTTATGCATATTCAATTCATCTTGTTTTTGAGATAATGTATGACCATTTGGAATTTTGAGAACAAAATCTTGATGGAGTTTTCCTTTTCTTGAAATTTGAGAACAAAATCTTAAAAGAACTTTCTTTTCTTGAAATTTTAGAGTAAAAAGGGTTCTCTTTTCTTGCATTTGGGAGCTAAATGTTGATGGGGGTTTTGTTTTCTTGAAATTTGACAGCAAAATCTTGAAAAGGGTCTCTTTTCTTAGAATTTGGGAGCAAAATGTTGATGGGGTTTTGTTTTCTTGAAATCTGATAGCAAAATCTTGAAAGGGGTTCTCTTTTCTTGCATTTGGGAGCAAAATCTTAAAGGGGTTTTCTTTTCTAGGAATTTGAGTTCAAAATCTTGAAAAGGGATCTCTAATTTTGGAATTTGTAAGCAAAATGTTGATGGGGTTTTGTTTTCTTGAAAAAAAATTCAGGGCATGGATGAGCTAAGTCAGACACTGTTTCTGACAACAATGGAGCTGGAGAACACCAGGTTGAAAGCTCAAGAAGAGCTAAAAATCAGAGAAGATGAGATAAACCAGCTTAAAGATTTGTTAAACAGAACCATCAATGAGAAAAATGAAGCTCAAGAGAAATGCCAAAAACTAATCTTGGAAAAACTTGTGTTTCAGCAGCAACAGCAGCAACATCTGGTGTTTCAACAAACAGGTCCATTATCTGGTGTTTCATGCATTGAAGATGAACCAATTCTAAACAGATCATTTTCATCTTCTGATTGTGATGAAAGCATTGTTTCATCCCCACAAGAAAAAGAACATCAACAACAACAACAAGATTTGCCTATTCTTATAGACAAACCATTACCTGAAAATGGAAAATTTTTACAAGCTGTAATGCAAGCAGGACCACTTCTACAAACACTCCTTCTTGCTGGTCCTTTACCTCAATGGCGCCACCCCCCACCCCCAATGGACTCTTATGAAATCCCACCACCCCCTGTGGTTATACCATGTCAAGATCCAATTTTTAATGTTTTTAACAACTGTGGAAGACTAAACAAGAGAAGGGGTAGTGGTGTTCTTTTTGATGATTCTAACATTGGAAACAAATACCAAAGGGTTGTGCTTTGAGTTCCCAATTGGAAAAAGATACAATTTTTAGTACTAGTAAGAAAAAAATAACTGATTTTTAGAAAATTTTGTACAAAATTGAAGAGGTTTGGTTAAGGAAAGTGAGTGAGGGAAAAGAAGAAAAGATTATTGTTTTGAGTTATTTTTAGTTTTTTTTTTTTTTGGTTTTTGGTTTGGTTAGTAATAGTATGTTGGTTGGATTGTCTCTTTCCTTCAATATTATTATAATCATTTAGAGTTTGATGAGTAATCTTTTTTCTCTCCATCATGATTCTTGATGTAAAATTTGCTTAATTGCATTGTCTAGTGAGGTTCACTCTCTTTCTTTTGTTCTTAGATAGCTAGAGAAGTGAAATCCAGTCTCAAGATTTTTCCACTTCACCCTCCACGAGGAGGATCAATAACGTTCTCACTTATTTTTTAGTGTGACTCGAACCTTCGAAAAGTGAGGATCAACAATGTTCAACCTATTGATTGGTAGTGAATCCTCCTCCTCCTTGCATTTTCTTGGTTTTTCTCTTTCTTATTTTCTTAGATAATAAGGAAAAGAGAGAAGTGGAATCCAGTCTCAAAAATTTCCACCCTTCACGAAAATCAATAGTATTCTCACTTGTTCTTTATTGTGATATGAACTCTCTCAATTAGGGAGAATCAATAGTGTTTTCACTTATCCTCAAACTTTTAACTTATCGATGATGGTGGAGGTGTTCAATTACTTGAACAAGCCGCACTTGTTGAATGAAGATATACTCAATTCCAATATTCTTTAATACATGCTTGGTTCCTTTACTATAACCACCAATTCCTAGGGATTCTTTTTTAAAAAGAGGGAGAGCGTTACTAGGTCATTCATTTTAGTACTATTCTTATTTCAAATATGCTTAACTTCAGAATTCTAATAAAAGTTTGGATGTGTTAGTATTGAATATTGATATGATATACATTGATTCCCTTTCCTTCTTCCCCTTTTTGAATTAGGAAAAGCTAAAAAAAAATCATATACATGTTGAAAGGGAACTATTTCTTTTTCCCCTTCTCACTCTATTCAAGAGAATCACCAATATTTTCATTTACCTTTCAACTCGAACCTCTAATATGTTGATCTACAAAAATATTTAACCACCATAAACAAACCTCATTCGTCTAGACGAAAATACTAGCTTTTCTTGATTTCTTTTCTTGTTGGGAGGGGGGGCTGTTTGGGGTGTGGACTATGGAGTTGTTAGAGAACAACAACCAGAAGGGTCTAAGGTCTCAACCTTGTCTGGTGAGTGAGTAATTGAGTGGGAACCCACAAATCAAAATTAGGATCTACTACTCTAATATAATGTTAAAAACTAATTATTTAAATTTGATTTGATGTATCTCTCTTAATCTTTCTTTCTCTCTCTTTCCACCTTTTCTCTTAAATTAATTAATTAATTAAGAGAATCTTTTCTTTTTTTTACAAGATTATGATCTTAAACACAACAATTATGAGGGGTAGTTTATCATATCAAACCCCACAAGAAGAACCAATGACGTATTTTCTCGATTTCGTATAGTTTAAGAGTACACTTTAAATCTTTTTCACTGAATATACTTTAAGAACATATTTAACCTTTTCTTTTGTTTATAATAGTAATAGTGTTTGTACTAATTTACATCTATCGATATAATAGTACTTGTTAACTCATACCAGCATGAGCATCGAATAACTCTGGTCATTGAAAATTATGCATAGGAAAGAGATGATTATTAAGCAAAGCGATGTAAATTTACACCAGTAAAATTCAAAAGTAATAGTTCCCAGTCTTGATTGTTTTGGAATTCCAAGATAACCTGTTGTCGCTATAATCTCTGTCACATCCTCTATCTTTCATTCTTTCGAATGAGCACAAACCTCAAATACTGAATTATTTGCTTTCGTTATCATACATAGGGTGTGATTTGTATGGAGAATAATATTTTTTTTAATACATGCATATTCAAATTTGACCACATTAATTGAATCATCACAATAATGTTTTATTTCTTGAAAAAGTAACAAAATGTGGACAAAAAGAGATGCAAGTTTGAAGAAAATTAAATTGACCATTTTAAAAGACGAAATTACGTAGAGGAAATTTATATTCTTTGTTCAGGTAGACTCCCATAAATCTAACATATCTTGTGTAAAGCTTAAACACAAAGTGCTTACAACTTGCAAGTTTGAAAATGATTGATATCTACATGAACCGTGGTGGGATGGTTCTCGAGTTCGAACTTCTAGGAATGGAGAAAATCTTATCGGAAAACAACCACCCAAAAATAGACTCTAAAATGCGCGAATCTCAATTTAATCGAGTCAAAATACAGATACCAAACATGCCAAATGCCAATATTATTGCAGTATGACAACATTAATTGAATCATCACAATCACGAGACATGTTAAAGAAATCTAACAAAAAGATGTGTTTTTCAAGTTTGAAAACGATGGTGATATTTCGAGACACCTACACATCGCGTAAATATACCCTTTTTTTTCTTCTGTAACAGCGGTGTCCAAGCTAGTCTCAACACGTCTCAATCATTTTACACTAGATACCTACTACTTTCCGCCAACAGAAAAAGAAAAAAAAAAGACCAAATTCTAGTATACATCAAGGACCATCTTTATGTTAAACGATATATAATATCACTATCGGATAACTTTGTCAACCAAACGCTTAAATAATCCCATGGGCTTTTTTGAGTCAAAAGACCAGACCTTTTTATGAAAAACATGTCAACATACTAACATGTTGTTGCACATTACATATAAGACGCCCATATGGTTCACTAACATCTAACAATCACATGGAAATTGGAATAATAATAATAATAACAAAACAAGGGTCAATTTTTATGTCTTAAAAGATCATTCAGATGTATGATCTAAGTGTAATCCCACCCGTGGGGTCTAGGGAGGATGGGGTCTACGCAAACCTTATCCCTATCTTGTGACCGTAAAGAGGTTGGCAAATAGACCCTCGACTCAAGTAAAGCAAAATATAAAGCAGGTTCGAAAAGGAAATACAAATCTAGGATTCTCATCAAGGGAGTGTGAGGTGTGCGCAAACTTCACCCTCATTTTGTGATGGTAAAGACATTTCTCATAGACCCTCGGCTCCAAAACAAAGCACGTTCGAAAAGGAAATACAAATCTGGGATTCTCATCAAGGGAGGTGAGGTGTATACAGACCTCATCCCTTATCTTGTGATAGCTAAGACGGAATAGACCCTCGGCTCAAGTAAAACAAAATAAAGCAAGTTCGAAAAGGAAATACAAATCTAGGATTCTTATCAAGGGAGGATGAGGTGTACACAGAATTCACCTTTTATCTTGAGACAGTAAAGACGTTACTAATAGACCCTCGGCTCAAGTAAAGCAAAATCAAGCAATTTGGGAACGCTTGAAAGTTTTCTTTTAAACTGATCAAATCATACATACAACAAGTGTTGACACATTGACTAATAGATCAACTTTCACAAAATTGGTTTGAGGCAACTTACATCTGCAAAGGACATCAATCTGTAGTCTGTTGTACAATGGACATGATCATTCATTCAGATAAGAGATGTGAACGCGATGTTTGATCATTTTTTTAGACGTGACACAATCTTTGAGTAGTCTTCTTCATCGTCATCCTGATCATTTTTAGACAAAGCGATCTTTGATTAGTCGTCTTCATTCCCTTGCCTTCCTGATCACTTTTAGACGTGCAAGTGGTCTTTGATTAGTCTTCATCATTGCCATCCTGATTGCTTTTTTGATTGTGTTTCTGAGCGTTATACATATCCGCTACCTGAGAAGCAAAGCATGAGGAGATTAAGAGATAAAACCAACAAGGTCATGAGTAAATAGAATATAAACCGGCAAAAGATGAGATGACGAAAAATTTAAGAAAAGATCACCATATCTGCTGATGAGGCCTCCTCAGGCTTCTTGTCTTCTCGTACACGGCTCAGACGGGGAAATCGTAATGAAATTCCCTGTGACAAGAAAGAGTAAATGATATAATTATCCTTAACTTGCCACTAATCAACACTATATTGACATTTATTCTTCACATTAGAATAAGAGATTGTCCCAACTGTTTCGGGTTTGATATATAAAGGCACTAGTAACTTTTGTTAAATGCTTTGGCATGATAAGCCAAGCAATGAAGAACGGCTTACGCAGGCGGCAGGCGGCAGGCGTAAAAGTGCAAGATTCAGTTTACTCATTGCATGTTATATTCAAAAGATACATACCTTCTCGGGATCCACGATACCTTGGGCAGCACGGTGGACAGGGCTGATAGTAAGATCAGCAGCTTTCACTTCCCAGACCTGATATTAACAAAGATTTATGGAGATATAATAAAATCAGTGTTATCAAGGGCAAAAAGTGTAAAAAAAAGCGTTGAGCTCGATTGAGATTTTAAGCGCAAAACGCAATTAAACCACAGCTTCAAAGAAGGTACAAATGAAGAATAAAATAAAATAGTTCATATGTCATTCAAGAATATAGCACGTGTATGCACAACAATTCTATGGATAAAGAGCTTGAAAATTTTGCAATTGAGTGAATATTTATGTTTATTGTTGCCTCGACCAGATAACGCCCATTGGTGCTGAGGCATTAGCCCTAGTGCCTTGGTGATTGCACTGAAGTTCCAGCTAAGCTAAGCAAAGTGCTCAGCCTGCTCTGAACCTACTTTCAGGGTCTAAACGCATCTTTGACAACACGAGATAAAATCCACAACCTATATCTACATGAAAAGGCTATTGACCCATTTTTCCACATAGAAGTTTGAAAAGGCAGAAAAATGTCAGTTCAACAGTTTATCAAATTAGAGGACCTCATAAGATCTCGAATCCTACAATGACATCCAAGGGGTACTGCTTTTAAAAGCAAACAGCTACCAAAAACAAAAAAAAAGGCAACAAGGCCTGTAGGGCTTGAAGTGAAGCCCATCCCTTTCCGGTTCCATCCAAAAGCATAACCCCAATAATAGATTCATGAGTAATCTACATACACAAATCCCTATAAGATAAGTAAGGTAACACATGAAACAACTTTTTCACCAATGTCAATATCAAAATATGCAGAAGACATGGATGAAATGCTCACATTATGCACCAAAGAAGAATATAAACAGAACTACTTCCTTTCACTAATTTTAAAATTAATAAAAGTAAAAGAGAGAGAGAAGATGAGAGAGACGCAAAAAGAAAAGAACCAGGAAAAGGATTACAAAGTTTTGAAGTAAAGCAACTGAGTGGAATGTAAAAACTATTACCTCAGTAGGTTCAAACCATACATCTGGATTGATGGTTTCAGCATACCTGTAATATGACTGCATATCACACATATGTTAAGAGGGGCACAAGAATCCGACTAACTGAAAGCAAAGTGCTTCCACACAACTTGGGAAAGATGAAAAATGCAACCTTTGGTTTAGGAATAACTTTAGAACGAAGGCTGGAAGAGCGTTCCTCAAGCTCTACTTCAGAAAATCCAGTTCCTAACCATAAAAAAGCATGGCATGTAAACACCAAGTATATAAGTAGGATAAATTGTTGTCACTTAGTGTTTACAGGAGTAAACAGCTTACCGATTTTACAGATGCTCTGAAACTCCTCGTTGTTGCTATCATAACAAGCTAGGAGAAAGGCTCCATAAACACCTGTCCGAAAACGAGTGCATTAGCCAAATAAACCAAAAAATATTAAGGCCCAATTTAACCACGTAAAAGTAGATAAAGTTACCAGTACGTTTCCCCCGACCATGAAAAGCACCAATTGGTACCAGATCCAGTGAGTCGCCAATACTGAAACTCAAATTGGTAAGACTGAAATTTTTCCACAAGTTCAAGTAACAATATATCTAAAGAAGTACTCCTAACGCATACCTCTCCATGTAATCCTTCTTCAGTTTTAGCCAGTTATTTGACCGTTTTGAAGGCTCATATGTAGCATCTTTAGTTAGTGTTTTGATAATCAATCCCTCACAACTGCAGAAATGGACAAAATTGAAGTGATTAAAATTACTTCTCCAATTTTCCTCTACTACAAGTAAAGACGGAAGTCCTGTTTTCTTTTTTCTTTTTGGATCAAGTGTAGTGTAATACAAGATTAAATGATCTCACCTAACTGGCTAAATCAAAAAATGAATGTCTAGTCACTGCTGCAAAAATAAACATATGGAAGGTCGGCCCTTGAGAGGTAGCTATTATGGTATAAAGCTATCAATCATTCAACCAGTGAAGTGGATGAAACAACAATAAAGAGCCACACATGCTATGCTTATTGCAGGTTTTTTTTCCTTCCCTATTACCTCTTTACCCATAAGGATTAGAACACACCAAGAAGTTACTAAATAGACAGAGTAGGAAATGAGGACTTCCAAGTTATGAACTTCTATTCTGCCGTTATTTGCTTACCCTGCCCATCAATGTTATTCACCCCTTAACTCCCTTCTCTGTTTCGTACTAAGTTCACCTTAACAGAGCTGGTTTATTCAACATTGGAAAGCTTACCAAATATGTCTCATGGAAGAAACATATCTTTGAATCCTAAAGTCACAGACATTTTTAAATGGACGTGTTAACTTTGTATAACAAGTGAAGAAAGCAAAAGGCTCTCTTTATTTACACAATTCAAATATTTTTAGTTTCGTTTACTAAGGTACCAATAGCTATTATTATTAACTCCTAAAATAATCGAAATGCAATTCACTTAGCATTTTTCCTCTCAATCCACCATCACCTTAGGCACTCGTGATACCTATAACCAGATCTGGAACCAACTTCATACACAACGAAAGAACATCTAAAGTTTAATGATTGTACCCAAGTCCTTCCAGTTTGGCTGGGTGAATGGAAAAGAGACTTGAAGAACAGAGTGAGGAGAAAAGAGAGAGGAGATGGAATGGGTGCTTGGGTATGCTATGTATGTCAGTGGGACCCATGGAGTCCATCCGTCCAAAATCAAAAGGTCTCACCAGAAGTTTTGTTGGTTATGTGTGGACAATGTCAAATTTCTCCAGATGATATTATTTCATGTGGATCACTACAATTTTTGAGGAGATCTTGTGTGCTGCAAGAGCAGCAATTTGGCTACAAAATAAGAAGTTGTATGTCCCTTTTGAGGTCTTCAAACAATGTAGCCAACCATTATAGAAAACCCACTTCGCAAACTTAGTAAACCCTCCATAGACATATAACAGTGAAATAGTGTTGTCAAATGTGAAGAGTACGAAAAGCACCAAGATCTCCTAAAGCTTTATATGCAAACCAAAATTAAGCCACATGATTTGGTTAAGAAAGGTGCAATCGAAAAGGAAAAATTAACAACAAACAAAACAACTACTGTAATGGATAAAGAATCTGAGAAAACCAAAAATTAAGTGAAATATATGAAATATAGTAATTTCCTATTCTAATTAGTAACATATGTACTTCATAATGTTTCCTTAATATATTTAGTGTTGTCTTTTTCAAGACAGAGAGATGGTGTGAAGCAAGCTCTAGCACCACTTAAGTGACGCACGACACCCAACTTATGCCCAGCGGGTTTCAGGGCACCCAATTCATGAGCCTCAAGCGAGCTTTTAACACACAGCTGAGAGTGGAATTACACATGAAGCATCTCTCTGGATCTTTTAAAAGAGAAGACAGAGAAGGCACAAACCAAGAAAAGAACATTTCAGAAATCTCCACTTACTTGACTTTACTCCTTTTAACAAGATAAAAAACAATATTGGGTTCGAGTTCAAACCAACCAAAGGTGCAATTTTTTCTATCATAAATAACAGATAACTAATCAAGTAACAGCAGCAAAGATCAACGAACAAGAAACGTCATTTACATGAACCAGCTCTTCAATTGCATGACATAAAGCAGCTTGTGACCTACTATACAGAAGTTCGTGTCACAATCATTATGAATGCATGTGAACTTCACCAAAAAGATATTTTAAAATATATAAAAACCAACCAAAAATGCATTTGAATTACCAGAAAAGCAGAAGTAGATTTTCTTAGATATATCAGTATCGAACCATTACCTGCCGTTGACCGCATCTTCAAGAAATTTTGTTATTTCCTCAAGATCGTTTGAGGCTACAGCTGTAGCAAACTGGAAATATCCAGGTTCTTCTTCAAATGACTTGTAAAGATGCTGCTTGAAGCCAGAAGTCACAGTATTAGCGCTAAACTTTGTAAAGGATGTGTTCGAGCTATAAATTGATCATTCACACATTGTTAATATTGGAGAAAAGGATCTAGCTATAAATTGATAAATTGATTGTTCACACAATGTTAATATGAGAGAACAGTTTAATATATTAAGAATCCATTGAGCAAAAGCCCATTTACGTACTAAAAGTAAACATGACCAGATATCAATATGAGAGCACAGCTTAATAAATTAAGAATGAGAATGAGATCTTAGGACATCACAAGCCCACCCCCTGCCAAAGAAACTAAAACCTTAAGTTTCACTTTAGAACCCTATATAAATATTGACAAACAATCAAATCTATAGATAGGCAAGAATCTTCGTTTTAGTCAACATAAAAATCTATGCACATGGGATTAGTTGTGTTTATTACTCCAGCTCCCGATTTAGAATTAAACCTGGAAGAGCATCTGAAATTGAGTGGAATAGAATACTTCATATATTTATTAATTAGAAAAAAATTGAAGATCTTAATACATAAAGAGTCCTGCACATTTGATCCCCAAATAGATGTCCTTTTTAGTTAGCATGGAGATTAAGTGGAGAAAAAGGTTTAACAGATCATTAATTATAGTATGAAAAGGAAAGCAGATACAGTAGATCAGAGGAAAATAGTTATCAGAGGAACTAGTTGATCTCCCAATCTGAGATTAGATCAAACAAAATGGGCGAGAAGAAAAATAACACAGCAAGCTTGCACCTCAGCATCCAGTTAATAAAGGCATCTGCAGATGCATATTTTCCCACACCTAAGCAACTTCACTATTTTCGCTAACTAAGCCATACAGGACTCTTAATCCTGCAGTCTTCTCATGTAAATGATTATTAGCTATATCAGATTCAGGTCCACGGAAGAAAGAGAAAAATCATTCCAAATGATATGAAACACAAACAACTGCCAGATCACTGGATTTTAAGAGAGGTCAAGAGATTTGGGAAAATTGAACAAATCAGAACAAAGTTCACTTCACCTGTCCCTTTCCTAAGTGCAACCTATGAAAATAAAGGCTTACTCATGAGGGAGTGAACCTACTTGTGTAATTTACAAGGGCCCATTGGTAGGAAGTGCAGAAGAGGTAAATGCATCAATTTCACTGAAGAGAAATCTCAAAGCAGCAGCACGAGTTTACGAATATAGAATTCTCATGGAAATACAAATCTGACGCAAGAAAAGGTTGAATAGATATATCAACTAGACTTAGATGTTAAGGACCCAATTTTAAGCAGATGCAATGCTTGGTCCAAGGGGTACCTGCAAATGGGAGCTGCAAAATTTCACAAATGCATGCTTACGTTTTTCCATTTTTGGTTGGGGCAGGGGGTGGGGGGCTAAGTATGTACATGCTGAGGTTTTTGTAACAAATTATGTCGCAATGACATTTCTTCCTATCTCACATCAACATAAGACATCAGTAAATGCTTAAAATATGTGGTTCAAGGATAAGACATTTCACTGATAGACAGTTCATTTGGTACTACTTGGTTTCCGCAGAAGCACAAAAGGATACAAATATGCATAAGAATCACTGGAGCAAAAGAAGAAAATATAATCATGAGAATTACAGGCAAATTTTCAACCACAAAAATGGAAGTACCTCTCTGCGAACATTAAGTTGCTCTTGAAGAAGTGGCTGTCCATTAAGATACAAGATATCAAAAGCATATATGCACACGTTGACCTTGATTTCACTAATGACAACATTTTTACGAGCACGTGTAGTAAGGACCTGTCATAAACATATATCTGTAAGTATCACCTCATTTTACACCAAAATTACACATAAATGTAGCAAGATGATTCTCCAAGCAAATAATGAGCATTTATCGGAGAAGAAATATTGGCAGCTGAAGCTTGCTTGCGAAATGAACACAAGATAAAAAGACAAAATATAAACTTGACGGAGTTCAGACAGAACTCGCTTGATAAACTCTATATGACCTGGACAGAAAAAGTTATATTATAGTTGATAAAGAGCCTAACTAGGTTAGCTACTGATCCAAACATATACTGAGTTATAGCAGCATATGTGTTAATGCAATTATACATCTACTTTGCTATGGGAAGGAGTTGTTCCTGTCAAGGTTAATATCAGTTGGATTTCCTCTATAATCCAATTTATCACCTTTGACGCCCCAAGGATGGATCTACAAGACTACAACTGCAAAGTATATATAGACTAGGTGAAGATTGTTAACCTGAAAGGGCAGGATCTTCTGTTTCTCACGGTCGTATGCAACCAGTTCACAGTCAAGAACAAATGAAGTTGCAGAAGATTTCTTCAATCTGCAACAAATTACAAGAATTAGCTAATAGATTCGCAACAGATTTCAGATAATGTACTACTCTGGTATACAAGGTACAGATTATTGTGGAGAACACAAATCTTGTAGCAATAATTTAGATACCATATAATACATTTGCTACCAAGAATTTAATTTTGTTATCTACCAGAGATCATTATTCACAATGTAAGAAGCATAAACTAGAAAATTATCCAGGCTCCTGTCCCAAGAAGCGTCAGAGATGTTCTGCATGTAGAACTCATAATCTAATTTTTCATAAATAACATAAGTCATGTGTTCCATAGTTGCACTTTGGAAAATGAAATAGTTGTTTTATTTTCAGAATTATTCGTGCAAGGAGCGACTAGCTTTTCAGACGTACACTATAGTTGGTTAATCGAGTCACTCAGTCATCAAGTTTGAAGTCTTGGTTTCACATATTTCTTACAAGTTATAGTTGTCCAAAAATCCACTATCACGTAAGTCCTTGATAAATTTTGATATATTCAGATCCAATTTTACCTTTTCTGCCCAATAGCAGTCAACTAAAAAGTATTTGATCTGGGTTTGCAAATTATAAGATTCAATTCCAGAGTCAAAGTTCCGAGCAAACACAGTGCCCAAACTCATCAACTTGATCATGCAGACTGTCCCTTCTTTTTTTTCCGATTGTTTCATGCAGATTGTCCTTTTTAAGCAGCATATTGTGAAACTATAGAGAGCCAAAGCTTTTAATGTCTTCACTATAATGTAGCCAATAGCTAATAATTGGGAAGCTTTTAGCATCTGAAGAGAACATTGAGCTAAGAGGAAGTGCTTGCATATGACAACTTCAGAAACAGAAAATCGAGACAAATGGAAGTAACTACCTTGAGATAGCAGTAACAACATCAGGAAACTTTCCAGTATTTCTTTCTGCATTTCGGCTATATATCTCAACAGAACCATCTTCCATGTAGTGTATCTAGATTTAAAAACAACAATTAACAAAAATTAAATTGCAAATAATAAATTTCTTTTAAAAGGATTGAAAAGACCTGGGAAATGTTCAGAGAACAATGTTTTAGACCGACTTCAGTTCACTTTTTACATTAAGGATGTGCAACTTCGACTCCATTAATCAGAAGGTAGAGCCGGGGAGGAAAAAAGAGGGAAATAGAAGTAAAACATGAATAACTTTACTAATCAGACACTGCAATGAACATCAAACAGAGAACTCAAGGGAAGTTATCAATAGAAAGAAAGAGCATGTAATGCAACAAATTCAGACTATGTATGATGTTGCAAGATCTATATCAGCTGGTTAGCCATATGTCGGTGAAAGAAGCAGGCTCATTTAGTCTCTAGAATACTTCTAAAACTAACTTTCCACCCTGTTCCAAAACATCCAGAGACTCAATATTAGAAAAAAGTAGACATCCAGGAGGCTCCAGAAAGTTCGAAAATGTAAGGGAAATAGTTTTTAGGAGGACAATTGCGGCTGAGAATTAACAAGGCAGAAAAAGACAACTAAGAATTTTTGAGGGGAGAATCCAAAGTAACTAGGATTGAAACTGAAAGTTTTGTTCATGATATTGCAAGAAAGAGAAGAGAGCAATATATGGCCCACAGAATACGGAAACCTGTAAATCAAAGAGGAAAAGGGAAACCAAGTGCATTTATCCAGCAGGGCCCAGTAAAAATGAAATTACAACCTTAATCAAGTCGAAAGACTAGCTGAGAAGAAATTTCCCCAATCTGAAGAAAAGGAATGCAGCAATGCTGAAGACAAAGCTCTAACTAACAAGAACAAGATTGGCAAACCTGACTTTTCACGGGAAAAAGCATAACATATCCAAAAGAGAAAGGAAGGCGTCAAGTTCCAAGAGCTACTTAGCGAAAAAAACGAAAAGGGCTACGATGGAAAAAATGAAAGCTCTTCTAACTCTTATGGCTTTTACTACCTGCCATTTCCTCCTTCTCCAAATAGGTTCACTAGTTCCAATTCAAATGTCTATGGTGAAAATGAACCTTGAATGGGAACTGAGTACATCTAGAGGCATATTACCTCTTCTTTTAGAAAATAAATAGCCCAAAATCTTTCATTGAATTGTGGCAAAGAATCTGATATGAGGAAGAATCAACTTCACATGATTCAATAGGATAAGATGTGATTTCCTTTTCTTTGTATTTTTTTGCATTAATAAAAAGCCCCTTCCTCTACTAGATATAAAATAAGATTAACCAAGAAACAAACAACTCCATCAGCTATGATGGGAAAAGCCAAAAAGGAAATCAGCTTGCATGGAAGCAGCATGAATACTTCACCCAAAAAAAAAAAAAAGTAACCATGCGACAACATTTCATTCAGTTGGGTAAATGGTTTATTCTTTCAGGAACGCTTATATTTGCGTATGATTTTAGTTCCCATTCATTTTGTGTTCAGTTCCTGGAGAGAGTATATGAATTAGTAGTAATTTACTGAATAAAAATGACTAATAAGGACAAGATTATAAGAACACCTGAGCACGTTCACCATCATACTTGTATTCACATGTGAACTCCATATCCTGAAACTTATCAAGAATTTCAGATACTCCTTTGGTTGGCTTAGCTAGCATAGGTCCAACCGGAACACCAGGTGAGAAACCACATGTTTCTGAAAGCTTCCAAACACCATCAGCTAGAAGAGCAGGGACAATTTTTTCATAAACTGGAATCACAGAGAACACTTGCTTTACAATCTTGGCGGCCTGCCAAACACAAAAGCCAAATGAAATAAGGAACCAATGAGCTATGCATTCAAGAGCAATGGAAATGCAGCAGACAGCTTGTCTAATGGACTTGCATCATATACAAAATGAAAAGGGATTAAAATTTGATGAATCAATTAATTTGCAAGGTAACACTGATCCACTTCTGCTAATTCTTGTAGTGGAAACAAGCTTTAAATTGTCATATATAGTCAAGCTATCCAGACTCTTTTCCCCCTTTCTGAAAGATAAAAATACTTATTGAAACTGATTAGTTTCCATCTGCCTAAGCCTTGGTGGACAGAGTTATCCGGGCTCAATTGTTGACAGGAGGTAAATTGTACCTGCTGGAATATTGAGATGCGTACATGTTGGCCCAGACACCACCATTATAAAACATACTTAGTGAAGGTGAGCCAAGTGAAGAAACTCCATCAATTTTTTTTATATATAAAATCCAACCTATACGAAAGATAAAAGATTGTTCGTGCAACATGAAATATATTTAGTTCACTCTACAAAAACAAGTTTCTATAAAAAAAAAAATTACTCCCTCCGTTTCAAAAAGATTGATCTGGTTTGACTTGGCACAAAGTTTAAGAAATTAAAGAAGACTTTTGAATCTTGTGGTCCTAAATTAAAGTTATGTCAAATGTACAAAATTGCCCTTAATCTTGTGGTCTTAAACATGCCACGTGGAAAGCAAAAAGTAAAATGTTACCAAAAAAGGAAAGAGGTCATTTTTTTGAAACTGACTAAAAAGGAAAGGAGGTCATTCTTTGTGAAACGGAGGGAGTAATATTTAGTCAAGTGGACTAGTTATAATTTTTTTGATTAAATTTTATTAGAAGTGTT